TTTTGAAAAAAAAAAAAAAAATTACTTAATCACATATTTTTAACTACAATAATTGTTATTAATATTTTATAAAATTAATTGATATAATTTTACAATATATTAATTAAACATGTTGAAATATTTCACCTTTGTAATATTCTTTTTTCTAATTTCAACTATATTTTGGACATATTCCAAGTTACCAATAGCAACTAAATTTTCAATATTCGAAATGTTTTCAAGTAGGATTAGTACAACTAAAAAAGGTGCTAAATTAGTTTTTCAATATTTGTAACGTTGTTGAGTAGTATTAGTATAAGTAAAATGTGTGCACAACTAATTTTCAATATTCGTATTATTTTCGAGTAGTATTAGAATAAATAGAAAGTGTACTCAAATTAATAGCATGAATTATTTTTACTTGTGACATGGGATATCATGCTGGGTTGATTGGGCCCAAGAAACCAGCTAATTGGAGTGAAGTTCTTAGGTCAAACATGTCCTCAAGTCGAACAGGTCCTCAAGTCAAACGGGTTCATCAAGTCAAACGGAGTCCTCATGTCGAACATGTCCTTAGGTCAAACAGAGTCCTCACGTCGAACATGTTCTCAAGTTGAACGAAGTCCTCAGGTCAAAACGGAGTCCTTAGGTCGAACTGAGTCCTCAGGTCATAACATAGTCCTTAGGTCGAACATGTGTTCAAGTCAAGTAGGTCCTGAAGTCAATGCGAAAAGACAATCTACCTCATGGGAGATCGAATTGGTCATATGTAGCTGTTAAATAAAACGAGCTTGGCTCGGCTCGGCTCGGTAAGGCTCAAGTTCAGCTCGAGTTCAAGGCCTTAACGAGCTGAGCTCGGCTCGATAAGGCTTGTTGAGGCTCGAAAATAATTTTTTTATATAACTTTTTATAGTTCGGCTCGTTAAAACTCGATATCGGCTCGTTAAGGCTCGAGCTTGAGACCTTAACGAGCCGAGCTCGAGCTCGAGCTTGAGCACTCTAAATTCGAGCTCGACTCGACTTGTTTACAACTCTAGCCATATGGTTAGATCGTCAAATACGGAATATTAAATAGTAAGAAATAATATTATTAAGATCATATAAACAACTTAAACAAAAATTATAATAATTTCTACATGATTATATTTACTTTTACTAAAAAAACTCGGTTAAGTCGAGTCACGTAAAAAATTGTTGAACAATAGTCCTCTTTCTAGCAGCTTGCCAACTTCACATTGTGTGCAAGTATATTTGTGGGAATGGAGATATGTTGGTGAATTGTTATAATTATTGCTTGAGTAATGTTAATTAGTTCACTTCGTTGATAACTTGGGTTACAACACAAGTATAAATGTATTACAAAAAAATTAAAAAATAATACATTTACACTTATGTTGTAATCTAAGTTGTAATCCAAGTGGGCTCTATATCATTGCTCTTATTACCTTTTTTATTACTTTTTGATAAATGCTACGTTGCCCAACTTAGTGTACAACTAGGTTGACAACACGAGAAAAAAATCTATAAAAAATAAAAATAGAAAAATAATAAGTGGATATTTCTATTTGTGTTGTCAACATAGTTGTACACTAGGTTGGCTAGTATCATTCTTTTTTTATTTTTTTATTGTAATATAATTTTTCATTTGAAATAA